CCATCGTTTTTTGGTACGATGGCTGTCACCACAATACTCAACTTTGAGCCAGTTAGTGTAGAAAAGATGTTTTACTTGTAGCTTGCTTTGCCACTTTGAATTTCTGGTCAGTTTCAAATGGTTTGTGAGATTTCCTACTGTTCCAATAGACCCCCACCATTTTTCAAGTCTTGGCAACTGACTTACAAGACATTTAGCTTTATTACATTTCTGACCCTACCTATCCAAACAAATGTTTTGTTACACAGTTTAAACTGGTTTGAAATTGGTAATTTCAGGAAGGGTCATTTCACCCGACTTACAACACATTTAGCTTCTTTTCATTTCTGACCCAGTTACCTGTGCACACAAGTGTTTTCAGGGGCGGATCCAGGATTTTTTTTAGGAGGGGGTGCCCTCGTCCCTTGCTCTACTTCAACACCAAAAAACCACATAGTTTTTTTTTGGCAGAATACGCGAGGGATAGCGAAGGTCACGAATTTATAGCCCGCTCTGTGTGTGGTGTCTAGCCAGCTAACGTTATCTTGACTATCAACCTCTGCACCTTGCACTGTAAGATAAGATAATGCCCCGCCTTATCATAAAATCCATTATCACGCCAAGTCAACAATGGGTCATTTATGCCGAGAGCGGCTCAGTTATACCAAATATATAGACAACAGACTGAAACATTTATAATTGCGTTCGTGCACGCGGCCAGGATTCACTGAATGAAGGAGACACATATTTGGAATAATTTGGCCAATAAAGTGGTGTTTATTACAAACCAATTGCAAGTGCTAAAGTGTCACGTTAACCGAGAATCATCGCTTAGTATAACATGATAGTTATTTTGATTCAGTGAGTTAAGTTGTGTCGAAAATTAGCCACAAGCCACACTCAAAGCCGCAGGCACGCACGTAAGACAAGATCCCAACGCAAAAGGCGAGAAAGGGGAACACCAGGCTGATTTCTGACATGTACCTGGAGACCTTACGAGTAAAAATAAGAGGTACCTAAACAACTGCTCCGTTTGAAATGGGAGAATTGCCGCCCCAGCCCAAGTCTGACAGGCGAGCTTCGAAGCCCCGAAGCTAGTTATAATATGTCAAAGTTTGAATGGTACAGACAACCCAGCCCGTGTCGGAAAGAAAAAAGCGGAAATAAACATAATTAATCTATAAATCATTGCTGCCCTAGCCCCTGTCTGTAAGGCGTGCTTACGTGCAGTAAGACACAACCAGCCCATGTCTGTGTCGGAGTTACGAAGATAAAAAAAAAATAGGCAAAATCTAGAAATATGCTTTACCTCAGCTCATGACTGAAAGGCGAACCTAATCCTTAGAGACTCCTGTAGGTTAACAAATGTATAGTTTAAATGCGTCGAATTTCCAACGGCCAAGGTGACGAATTTGAGAATTCGATTAGCCATTTTCAGCTGCTAGAGAGGCGGCGCCGATCCGGAAAGAGTGAGATTTGTATTTAGTTGAATCAAGGCCACAAAAATTCAAGGCTTGTTGCAGCTGTTGCGTAAACTGGCTAGTTTTAACTGGAGATCCGTCAGCAAAGCAAAACAAGGGACCCGGGGTTGCACCCCTCGCAGAGAAATCGGTGTATGACATTTGTAGACTGCAGACTGCAGACTGCAGACTGCAGACTGCAGACTGCAGACTGCAGACTGCAGACCGCAGACTGCAGACTGTAGACTGCAGACTGCATGAGGCAGCAAGACTGTAAATTGAATGAAACCAAAAATATCGTAGTAAAGGTGGCGTCATCATCAACATTACCTTGTTCCGAGAAGTACATGTAAGGCCTAGAAGCGAAGTTTTTTCACGCAAATTACACCGACCTGACTCCTGAAGGAGCTGTTGGTTGTTCGTCTCGTATTGAATTAGAGCAGAATAATGTCTGCCAATGTCACAAACTCGATCATAAATCCATAGCGACAGGCTAGCAACTTAGCCTGCACCACAGACGAAACTAAACTGTGGTTATATAAGTCTGTTTGTGAAACAGCGCCGGAATCCTTATTTTACGGGGCCCCCAACTGTGTACTAGGATATGAGCATGAGCAATGATTGGCCTATTAAAAAAGCCATTGTCGATTTGCCTATTTAGAAATTCAAAATGCACTTCCGGTAATTGGTCGAGTCCAGGTAGGATCTGTTCGGTTTAGATTATTTGGCATATCCTTAAATACTGCTAAGATGAAATACGTCATTTAAAAGGTGTTAAATGTCCGTGATGTATCCTAATTGTTTTTGTAGACGTAACTGTAGTGAGCACGAAGCGCTCGCGATCTAAACACTTTTTTACAGAAGACTACTATTTAGACAGGCATTAATGGGCATTGCTACTTGTCATTATCAATTCACAATAATCAAAGAAGAATAAAGAATCAACGCAGTTAGTGGTATGCCGGGTGAGTCAATAAAGAGTCGCATCGGTGAAGAATAGCCAACAGCATCTTGGAAAGTTCGTAAGTCCTACGTGATCCCTTCGTAATGGCTGAGTGCAGAAGCTCGGTCAAGTGATGTGCCAGTTGTTGGGTAGTAGGCCTTCCGGAACCGACGTCGGTTGTGGGTCTGCGATAGGTGCTAGTAATCTGAATTTCTCTACCTGTAGGCGAGACAAAGCATCGCTTTTGCGGTTAATGCAACCAGCGATATGCTTAGCATGGAACAAAATATTGTATTTGAGTGTGCAAAGAACAAAGTGCCTGAGTAGAACCATGATTGAACGATCCTTAGAAGTTTGCTTATTGATTATTTCAACCACTGCTTGGTTATTCGAAAAGAAAACAATACATTTGTTGCGCATAAGCGGTCCCCAAATCTCGATTGCCAGGACAATAGGAAAGAACTCTAAGATAGTGGTATGAAATGTTTTCCAAACGGCAGGCCATTCACCGAAAACCAGTGCTTTCCAAGTATCGCGGCATAAGCAAGAGAACCCGCCGCGTCCGTAAATAATTTGAGGGTTTTGGAAGTGCACCAGCGTGAGCCGAGGAAAAAGGATTTGCCGTTATACGATCGCAAAAAATTGAGCCAAACTTGTAGGTCATATTTACTTTCCTTCGTTAATCTAACGTGATGGGTAGGTTTCCGGACGCCTCTTGTCAAGTCGATTAAACGGCGGAGAAAAGCGCGTCCGGGCACCACAACACAGCAGGCAAAATTGAGAAGCCCTATTAATGACTGTAGCTCTTTTAAAGTAACTCTTTTACGCGAACAAAAATAACTCAACTGCGATAGGTATTTGTCAATTTTATCTCAGGAAGGCGAACTTCCATCAATTCGGTATCTAAAGTGATGCCGGCAGATTGCAAAGCCCTGTCAGGCCCCATAGTCTTTTCGCTGGCGATCGGAATGCCTATACGTTGGCAAGAAGTAAGAAAATTATCGAGGTCTCCCTGACATTTTTCTTTAGAGGGCGCAATAAATAAAAAGTCGTCTAAAATGTATATGACCGCCGACGCGTTTAGTTTGTTCATAGCGATCCATTCTGACGCAGTGCTGAAGGTTTCAAATATATTACACGACAAAGAGCACCCCATGAGAAGGCATTTGTCAAAATAGAACTTTCCCTGCCATTCCATTCCGAGCAACGGAAAATCGTTGGGGGATACGGGAATAATTCGGAAAGCTGATTTAATGTCTGTTTTCGCCAGAAAACAGCCCTTCCCTAACGATTTAATAAGACGAATGGCATCATCAATGGTTGCATATCTCACAGTGGCTAATTCTTTAGAGATACCATCATTAACTGATGACCCCGCCCGGTAGGAGAGATGGTGAATTAACCCGAATTCTCCCGGAGACTTTTTGGGAATAATGCCCAGGGGGATACCCTGAAAGGGTCGAAAGGTGGTACGTCAAATGGACCTAAAATTCTGCCTGCTGTGAGCTGCTTAAACAAATTTTCAGTCACGCTAGTCGGATTGTCCTTGGCGCTTTTGAGATTTTGGGATCGCATTGCAATTAAAGAAACTAAATATCGTAGTGAGAAAACGTGAACAAAGCCTTGTATAAGATGGTCGGAAATGGAGTTATTATAACCCCTAAGGTAAAACGCGAGTTGGACGGGCTTTACCGGGGTTGGCCCGCGGCTCAACAGAAGCTCGCCCCTGACTGTCACTCCCGGAGGGCAGGTTTGGTGCTGGACGGTTGTTTGTGTTAGATCTGGTACCGGTACATTGGGTCGCTGGGTGGACAGATCCACATTTAAAGCAGGAGTGTTTGAAATTGCATCCCCTGCAGAATTGTCTGGAATGAAACCGCCAACACACTCCCTTGGGAAAAGACTGAAAGGGACGCTGGTTGGGCCGACGGGTTCGAAAATCATTGTTAGAGCTTGGCCGAGAGGTGGTAAGGGCGCTATGCAAGGCCTGATGCCACAATTCCCTAGCTACGTTGTCCCAAGGGTATCGGTCCGGTTTTGATTGACGAAGAAATCGGAATAGGCCATTTGCACTAAGAGGTCATGTGACATAGTTTTCATGAAAATGAAAGTTATATGATTTTGCCTTCGAAAAAGGATTAGTGGGTCATATCTTAAACAAAATAATAGTGATTTAGTTTTTCAAACCCGCACCATTTTCTTAAAATGAGTTCCTCGCTGATCACGTGACCAACATTTTATTTTTAAAATTATGAATTACTTCTTTCTGAACCCAAGCTTTCCACTTAAACTTCAAGGAGGATGTTGAAAAAATGATGTGGTAACGTTTACAGCAAATCTGAGCGCAACTATCAAACGTTTAACAAGATATAAGCAAAAAGTAGTTTTGGGCGCCATATTGGAGGGCAAGAGTATGCCCTCCAATATGGCGGCCAATACAAATCATACTATTTTGTTGAAAAATCAAAGTGCCGTAAAATATCTCCCTTAAATGCGTTTCCTCTCAAACTTCGGGTGTAAGCTAACTTTTATGTGCCCTGTCAATTTTTGACATCAGCAAGATTCCAACTCATTGTTTAAAGGAAGCATTGGTCACGTGACCTCTTAGTGCAAGTGGCCTATTGTTCGTCATAATAACGCCAATTACCTTGCTTTGCTGCGATGTCCCGAACCACCTCACAATACTTCTTTAGGGAGCTTATCGCACTAGGAGTCTTAATTGTATAAACAGCCACAAATACATTAGACGCGGTCAGCCATTGGTCGATAGTCAAGCTACGCCGCTTTGGTTTAACGTGCTCAAGGCAAAGACTAGGGTGATCGTGATCATCCGTGACAGATATACGATACTTTGACTCGTCCGGGGACACTGTGAGGAGTGAACCAAAATCTACATTTTCGTTCGCCCAAATCTTTGCCTTGACACGATCTGAGATCCGAGATTCGAGGTCGAAAGTGACGCTCGAAAACGTTTCTTCTGGTTTCCTGGTTGAAAAAGTTAGCCTACCAGCAGCCACGGTGTTCGTCAATGCCTCGATTTCCTTTGATGCGGCGTCCTCAACCACGGTGGGCTGGGGCGTGGACTGGGTGTTCATTCCTGAATCCCTTTCGGCAGGAGCAAGGTTTGTTTGCCTACTGACTGCAAAACGCCCGAGATAGCTTGTGAATTATTGCCCCAAGCTCGGTGGGGCTTACCTGCCAGGAGGACTCCGGTGGCTGTGCTGATCTCTCCGGCAGGACCGCGGAAATTGGGCGACTTTCAGCCCGGCGTTGTTTTGGAGCCACTGTAGGGGCTGGTCTTTTTGCTGCCTGGCGCTTTGAGGCTCGTTTAGGAGGCATTCTTATGAAAAATGTACACTATATTACTCCAACAAAAATTAAAAATATTGTGATCCCTCAAACTTAGTGGGTGTGTTCCTTGGTTTTTGGCGGGTTTTCATTGAGCCCATTGAGACGGAGACGCGTCGAAGAGACAAAGATTAACATATCCGAGACATTCCACAATGGCGTAGGAGAGTTGGGCTATACACGCTCCAACTAGACTCCTAGTAAGAAACGGAAGCCAAAGAATGTCAAGTGCAAATCAAGAGCAGGCAACATAATGACAAAAAATAATCCGAGACATTGTAAAAAGGACATTTGTCCTATAATGGCTTGAGTGAGTTGGGCACACTAATGTAGTAAACAATAACCGCCAGGTGAGTACAAAACATGCCACAATAAAGCATTTAAAATGCATGATAACATATGATATAGCCTGCAAAGTTGTAAATGTACACGTGACACAGCATCTCATAAATGTATTATAACGTCGCCATTTAAATATCGAACTGGCCAAGACGGGGCACAGGGCATTGACTAAACTTTCCAGTTCCGAACGCACTGTCTGCGGCGATAGCTCCACCAGATCGTTGGAGCCGAGCTCCAAAATAATTACATCTGGGACCAACTGGCGCACCACATGAAAGTCGAACTTACGAAATTTTGCTATCGTGCGGCAGCCGACTCCATGAAAATAAATATCCGCTATACCACTAAGGCTGCTAAAAGTCTGCATGTGCCTCTTTTTCTGCACAAACGCCTTAAGACGATGAACGAAGGAGTGCCCGATTATTAACACGCGCTGTTCAGCCATGAGGTTAAAGAAAATTTTAGGAAAATTAGCGGGCGCTAAAGAGAGCCAGAGTCCTCAGCTAGGGCACCCCAACAAGAACGGAAAAAATAAATTAAAATAAAATAAAAAGCTACCTGACTACAGAAAACAAACAGGGGTCGGAGAAAAATTGCACTTGCCTTATTGTTCGTTGGCTTGTCAAAGAAAGAAATAAATTCACTATTGAAAAGTTAAACAACTCACGATCGGTTTTGGCAGAAAAAAGAGGCGAGCGATAGCGAAGCTCACGAATTTATAGCCCGCTCTGTGTGTGGTGTCTAGCCAGCTATCGTTATCTTGCCTATCAACCTCTGAAGATGCACTGTAAGATAAGATAATGCCCCGCCTCATCATAAGTCAATAATGGGTCATTTAACCTTAATAATCCCTGGAATGGTAAGCATAGATCACGTACATTGTCAGTCAAAATCCACAACTATATATCACGGGGCTTATACTGTGAATACTTTGAAAGTGGAAATTGAGACGGTTAAAGGTAGAAAAATGACTTTTAGTCATTCATATCATAATCGCCATCGTTCTTTGGTACGATGGCTGTCACCACAATACTCAACTTTGAGCCTGGTAGGGTAGGAAAGATGTTTTACTTGTAGCTTGCTTTGCCACTTTGAATTTCTGGTCAGTTTCAAATGGTTTGTAAGATTTCCTACTGTACTAATAGACCCCCACTATTTTTCAAGTGTTGGCACCTGACTTACAAGACATTGAGCTTTATTACATTTCTGACCCTACCTATCAAAACAAATGTTTTGTTACGCAGTTTAAACTGGTTTGAAATTGGTAATGTCATGGAGGGTCTTTTCTTTATAAACAATTAAATTATAGATAGTACCCGACTACCGCATACGATGTTATAACTCATATTTACATACGATGGGTCTTAAACTAGTAAAGGGACTTTAAGAGGCCCCGCGCCTAAGAAACGACCGATGATTTCCGGCTAAAAAATAAAATCGGCCGATTTTTATCTCCCGAGTAGAGGTTACCGAATACTATTCAAAAATGAATTTCTTTTGTTTCAGTTTCGCTTTAAACCAAAAATATCGAACCGCAAACTTTTTCCGTCTGATAGCAGCAAAATCAGGCCTAAACTAAGCTCTCGCAAAAAACGGTTCAGAAATCACTATCGCCACGCAAAACAACGAGAAAATCACGCAGTGATGAAGAAAAAGGCCTTTTAATGCAATATCATTCGATAAACATCGAAAAACTGCCGAAGGGAATAAAAAATAAATTTTCAAATATTGCATATTAAATTAGATCGAGCGTTGGAGTTGATTTTAAAATAATAATTTCTCAAAAGTCCAACGCTGCTGAAAGCAATCACAGTGATGAATCAGACATTGGAGGGATATACATCACGTTTTCGGAAAAACATTTTTCGGCCAAAGTATACTGACGTTGTAAAAACCGTTCAAAGTTACCGTATTTACCGTTAAGTTGCCACTTCGGCGAAACACTTCTCTGTTGCCAATATGGCCAAGGATAGCGTGGTAAACGCCACTTTAAGCCTTGCTAGACGCTCAAAACCGTCCTAAATAGAAGTATATAGAATTAAAAGAGAAAGGAAAATGAAAGATTCGCAGAAAAAGAGAATAGGGACCTTTAGCATCAGGTTTTTCGTGGGAAACGGCAAACCGCAAACCGCAAGATGTCACGTGACCACAGCCTTTCAGTCACGTTTGCAGTTTGCAGTTCACGTTTGAACCGCAGGAAGGGCTTCCAGCGGTAAGTGATTTACGGCAAGGTTTTTTGCCACAAAAAATTGTACAGCCTCGCGTTTAAAGGTATGAACTAGCTTTTTGTATCCGTTTGCGATGTGTTTGTTGGATTTCTGATCTCGAATCAATGAATTATTGCTGATTTTTGGGCGATTAAAGTGATGCACTTCGACTTGATGAAAACAACATGGCGGCCCTAAACAATGAACGCGTAGTTCAAATCAGTTTTATATTCCTTTCTGCCGTACTAACAATGGAAGGTATTTTGTTCCAATCCAGGGTTAATTTTTTTTTTCTATCTTGTTACTGAATTCATAACTTAACTCAGTCTCTGTTTGGTTCCTATGTTTAACGTATCACTCCGCGAATATCATTTTATTTTGCTTAGTTCTTTTAGACTGGGGAGCTCAGGCTTCATAAAGCCTTCTGGTTTCTTCTGGGCTCCCTTGCAACCTTTCAATTCCTATATGTGTTCTTGTATTGTATTGTATTTTGGCTAAATAAAAGTGAACTGAACTGAACTGAACGCCTTGCTAAAGTTTGAAACCTCGGTAACGCGAAACTGCAAACGCGTAACTGCCGTTTGCGGTTGGCGGTTTGCGGTTTACCTGATGCTAAAGGTCTCTAATAACTCGAAATTACCATCCGGCTAAGGAGAGTTGAATCTTGGAAATGTTGTCGCGTGACAGCGTTCATTTGTCCGAACTGCAGCGGGATCCAAACAAATACCTGAAATATAAGTTTAAAAAAAAAACAGTCTTTCTATCGCCAGAAATCGTGAGGTGAAACAGTTTTATGTTTTTCCTATTAATGATGATGAATTCAGCCTCAGCTAGTCTCCAAGTACTTTGAATGTGGGCTGCTTGTATTTCGTTACATACATTCCAACGGACGTTACGGGTCAGCGGTTATTTCGGTATTTACCAATTTTTCTCACGGTAGCGCGGTATTTAATTTTGCGAGGAAACGTGAGACGACCTCGAATTGATCGGTACAACGAACGGAAAAGATACCCTAACAATTTCATCATAGATTATCTGTCAGAAATTGTGTAATGGTAATCATTTACCATTAATCTAAAGTAAATACTGACGTGCATTAAACTAGCCGGCGTAGCAGGCGGTTGGAAGTAGCACAGGGTCCAGAGGAGATGCGTTTGTCGTTAGAACATCAGAACCCGTCGAAAACCTCTGAAAAAATGGGTTATTTTGATCGAGTTACAGTTTCGTTACACATTCTATAGTCGCCCTTCGGGCGACGTGCCGTGCGCCAGCGAGGATTTCGGCTTGCGGTTATGGATTTTCAAAAGTCGATCCGGGTCAGATAAGAAGCGAAGAAATCGTTTACAGTAGATTTATAAAGATCCCATTGGGCTAATTAATCGTGCTAAGCGACAGGTATGGACATTTTTCAAGGTGAGTTTCATTTATTCACACGAAACTCCTCTGGACCCTGTGGAAGTAGTGGGCGCGAGAGAGAACGGGCGCGCGAGGGAGACACGCAAGGGGTCATCCAAACGCCTGCTACGCAGGCTAGCATTAAACAGGAGAGCGCAATGAACAGTACCGCAATACAGTGATCTTCGTTTACCGTTAACCAAAAGGATGCATCACAGCACGAAAAGGCAAATTTAAGTTAGCGTAATGGTGGCGTAAAGCTAGCGTAAAGCTCTCATTTACGTAACTTTACGACACTTTTCAGCCACGTAAAGCCGAACTTTACCTTACCTTTACGCGTATGCGTTAAGGTATCGTAAAGAGACTGTTTAAGCCCTGCGTAAAGTTGGTGTAAATACGCCGTAAAGAAGAGATTTAAGCTAACGTAAAGTTGGTGTAAATACGCTTTAAAGTAGAGACTTAAACCAGCGTAATTGAAGCGTAAAGTTGGTGTAAAGATCTTATTTAGACAATCCTTTTACGCGTTAAGCGGACACGCAAAGGAGTAGTAGTTTAAAAAATAGGGCCCCTTTCCGTTCCCAATTTTGCATTACCATAACCAATTTTCAAATTGCCTATCTTTATTTTCACATTTCAAATCCCATGAAAATCGCCAGGTATGCTACATTGTTGTAACTGCAAAAGCTGCAAATACGAATCGCATTCTTTAAGTTTAGTCCTGTAAAGAGTGATCTTACAAGGTTTTAAAAAACAAAACACACTGATACTCTAAAACTGAATTTTCTAAATATAACATGATTTAT